AAACAGAGGATTGCTGATGTTATGAATGAAAAGAAGTTGGATGTCCTGGCCCTAAGCGAAACAAAGCTGAAGGGGGTAGGGGAGTTTCAGTGGGGGGAAATAAATGGGATTAAATCTGGAGTATCTGAGAGAGTTAGAGCAAAGGAAGGGGTAGCAGTAATGTTGAATGATCAGTTATGGAAGGAGAAAAGAGAATATGAATGTGTAAATTCAAGAATTATGTGGATTAAAGTAAAGGTTGGATTAATACGAGAAGTGGGTCATATAATAAGCGTATATGCACCTGGGAAGAGAGGAAATGAGAGGAGAGAGAGATTTTGGGGAGATGTTAAGTGAAATGTATAGGAGCCTTTGCGAACCAAGTGAGAGATGTAATTGTGGTAGGGGACCTGAATGCTAAAGTAGGAGAAACTTTAGAGAGGGGTGTGGTAGGTAAGTTTGGGGTGCCAGGAATGTAAATGATAAGGGGAGCCTTTGATTGAAACTTTGTATAGGAAAGGGGTTTAGTTCTAGGTAATACATATTATAAGAAAACAGAGGATAAATAAGTTATACAAAGATATGATGTAGGACGAAATGACAGTAGTTGTTGGATTATTGTATTGGTAGATAAAGACTGTTGAGTAGACTTCAAGATGTACATGTTTATAGTGGGGGCACTAGATATTCAGATCACTTTCTAGTTGTAGCTACACTTGAGAGTAAATGGTAGATGGGGATACAAGGAGAAACAAATTAGGAAGTATCAGGAGAGAAGAGGTGAAGGTTTATATAAACTAAAAGAGGAGGGCAGTTAGGGTAAGATATAAACAGCTATTGGAGGATTGATGGCTAATGAGGCATCGGCAATGGGGTCGAAGAGGTAGGGGGTAGTTTAAAAAATGTAGTGTTAGGAGTGTTCAGCAGAAGTTTGTGGATTACAGGAAAGTGGGTGCGGGAGGGAAGAGAAGCCGGATGGTGGAATGATGATGTAAATGAGAGTGGTAAGGGAGAAAAAGTTAACATTTGAGGAAGTTTTAGAAGTAGAAGTGATGCAGGAGAGAAGAGTATATGGAGAAAAGAGAGGTTAAGAGAGTGGTGATGCATGTAAAAAGAGAGCATTGAGAGAGTGGTGCTGATGTTATCAACAAATTTGTTGAAAATAGGAAAAGTTTTGGAGTGAGATATTAAAAAGTTAAGAAAGCTAGAGAACAAATGATTTGTCAGTTAAATATAGGACAGGAGAGTTATTAAATGGAGGTTAGAGGTATTGGAAGATGGAGGGAATATTTTGAGGCTTTGTTAATGGTGATTGAAGATAGGAAGCGTGATTTTATATATAGGACAAGAGGAATAACATTCTTGTAGGAGTGAGGAAGAGCAGTTGTGAGTGGTCGGAGAAGTTCGATGAGGCAGTAGTAAAATGAAAGGGTGGTAAGGCAGCGGATTGATGGGCTAATGTAGAAATGTTAAAAGCAGGTGGGGATATAGTTTTGGAGTGTTGGTGCGATATTTAATAAATGTATGGAAGAGGGTAAGGTACCTAGGGATTGGCAGTGAGCATGCATGTTCCTTTGTATAAAGGCAAAGGGGATAAAAGAGTGCAAAAATTATAGGGATAAGTCTGCTGGTATACTGTAAAGTGTATGGTAGAGTTATTTTTGAAAGGAATTAAGAGTAAAGACGGAGAATAGGTATAGCAGATGAACAAGGAGGCTTTAGGAAAAGGTGGGGGTGTGTGGACAGGTGTTTACAGTGGAAAATATAAGTGAACATATTTAGAAAATAAAAAAAAGGGGGGGGGCTTAAAGAGGTCTTTGTGGCATTTAGGGATTTGGAAAAGGCGTATGGACAGGGTGGATAGGGGGGCAATGTGGCAGATGTTGAAGTGTATGGTGTAGGAGGTAGGTTACTGGAAAGCAGAGAAGAGTTTTGACAAGGATGTGAGGTCAAGTTTGAGTATTGTAGGAAAGAGGGAAAATTTTTTCCCAGTAAAAGTAGCCTTAGGACAAGGATGTGGATGTACCTGGTTGTGTAATTGGTATTGATAGATGGGGTGGTAAGAGAAGTAAATGGAGGGTCTTGGCAAGAGGCGTGGATGGTAAAAAGATAAAGTACACACACAAAGTGGGTGTATGTCCATAGCTGCTCTTTGTGAGGGTCACTGGTGATCTTGGAGATTCTGAAGAGAAGTTGCAGAGATTGGTGGATGAATTTGGTAGGGTGTGCAAAAGAAGAAAATTAAAAGGTGAATACAGGAAAGAGTAAGGTTATGAGGATTACAAAAAGAATTAGGTGGATGAAAGATTGGAATATCAGGATTTGGAGGAGAGTGTATGGTGGAGGTGAATGTATTCAGATATTTTGGGAGTGGACGTGTCAGCGGATGGTCTATTGAAAGGATGAGGTGAATATAGAATGATGAGGGGAAAAGAGTGAGTGGTGCTCTTGGAGTCTGTGGAGACAAAGAACTTTGTCCCCCCCCCACCCATTGGAGGCAAAGAGGGGAATGTATGTGAGTATGTTTTACCAACGCGCTTATATGGTGTGTGAGGCATGGGTGAGATGTTGCAGCGAGGAGAAGGCTGGAGGCAGTGGAGATGTCATGTCTGAGGGCAATGTGTTGGTGTGAATATAATGCAGAGAATTCATAGTTTGGAAGTTAGGAGGAGGTGCGGGATTACCAAAATGTTGTCCAGAGGGCTGAGGAAGGGTTGTTGAGGTGGTTCGGACATGTAGAGAGAATGGAGCGAAACAGAATGACTTCAAGAGTGTATCAGTCTGTAGTGGAAGGAAGGCGGGGTAGGGGTCGGCCTAGGAAAGGTTGGAGAGAGAGGGGTAAAGGAGGTTTTGTGTGCGAGGGGCTTGGACTTCCAGCAGGCATGCGTGAGCGTGTTTGATAGGAGTGAATGGAGACAAATGGTTTTTAATACTTGACGTGCTGTTGGAGTGTGAGCAAAGTAACAATTATGAAGGGGTTCAAGGAAACCGGCAGGCTGGACTTGAGTCCTGGAGATGGGAAGTACAGTGCCTGCACTCTGAAGGAGGGGTGTTAATGTTGCAGTTTAAAAACTGTAGTGTAAAGCACCCTTCTGGCAAGACAGTGATGGAGTGAATGATGGTGAAAGTTTTTCTTTTTCGGGCCACCCTGCCTTGGTGGGAATCGGCCAGTGTGATAATAATAATAATAAATATTAACGAAGTGATTACTATGTCCCTACCACCTGTATACCATCAAGACCACTGTATAACATATATTTAAAAGGAAATTTTATGTAACGACTGTTTCAATAATTGTTAGCCGGACTCGAGTCCTGAAAGTGAGAAGTACAATGCCTGCACTTTAAAGGAGAAGTTTGGGATATTGGCAGTTAGGAGAGACTTTTAAACTGTCGTGTCTGAGTGCCTTGCAAAGACAGTGATTATGCATGAGTGATGGTGAAAGTATTGAATGATGAAAGTATTTTTCTTTCCGAGTTTTTCTTTCTTTATGGGTCACCCTGCCTCGGTAGGAAACGGCAGATGTGTTAAAAAAAATATTGCTTCAAGGTGCGTGTCATATCAAAACATGAAAAAAGTGTCATAGTGTTTGATTATATCAGGTTATTCTAGGCTAAATCTACACAGTGTACTTTTTGGCTGAATTAAACTGTTAGTATCATGAAACTGAAATAAATATGAAATCAATAAGGCATCTTCCTACCAGTTTCCCACCTGTTTGCTGGTAAGGAAGCTGGTGGTGGAACAATTGGTAGTTTTCATTACTGACTTTTCCCACCTGTTTGCTGGTAAGGAAGCTGGTGGTGGAACAATTGGTAGTTTTCATTACTGACTTATGCTAGCCAGACTTACCCATGATGCACTGCACAGACCCAACTGGTCTTAGAATTTTTTTCAGAGGCATGAAGAGATTGTTAGAGACTCAAACAGTTGACCCGAGGTCAAAAATTTTGGTAGATGGCATGAATGAAGGTGTGAAAAATTATGCATGCTAGCACTTAAGACACATCTTGGTACCTGCGTACTAGTATGATGGTCAAAGTATGTCTTCTTTCTTTCAACACACTGGCCGTATCCCACCGAGGTGGGGTGGCCCAAAAGGAAAAATGGAAACTTCTCCTTTCAAATTTAGTAATATATACAGGAGAAGAGGTTACTAGCCCCTTGCTCCCGGCATTTTAGTCGCCTCTTACAACACGCATGGCTTACGGAGGAAGAATTCTGTTCCACTTCCCCATGGAGATAAGAGGAAATAAACAAGAACAAGAACTAGAAAGAAAATAGAAGAAAACCCAGAGGGGTATGTATATATATGCTTGTACATGTATGTAGTGTGACCTAAGTGTAAATAGAAGTAGCAAGACGTACCTGAAATCTTGCATGGTCATGAGACAGAAAAAAGGACACCAGCAATCCTACCATCATGTAAAACAATTACAGGCTTTCGTTTTACACTTACTTGGCAGGACAGTAGTACCTCCCTGGGCGGTTGCTGTCTACCAACCTACTACCTACAATGTATGTATAGGGGTTAAAAACAATGAGGTGTTTTGCAGACATCCTGAGGCAACCACTACATTTCTCATTTAATTTTCTACATATTTAGTGCCTGACAACTTCACAATAATACCATATTGAGAACATTTTTTTTTTAAATGTGAAATTAACTTTTAAAATTCTGTGAAAGCAAATTTATTTTGATATAAATATTCAAAATTAGTATAAATTTATACAACTTTAATTCTAGAAACAGTGCAAGCACCTAATAAATGTTAGCATACAGCCTAAAGGTTTACTGATAATTCTTAAAGCAAATTAAAAAACTTGTTGAAACACAATTTTTAATCTCCCTGAAGAAAAGACAACTGCAAACTCTGTAAAACACTTTCATAACAAAAGCTTGCTGTGCGCCTGTCTTTTCTTCAATAGTCAGCAGTACACCTTTGTATCTAGTTTAACCTGTGAAAAGATGTGATAATGCAGAACATAATTGCAGTCTTGCAAAATCTTTCAACCATTACCTGTAAATCCAGAACTTTCTGCCTTAACCCACAACTTGTTTAGCTTTTTATCCTTGAACACAGCTTTAAGAATCTTCTGGTCAGTCACTTCATTCAAATAAGGCTCCTTACTAGATGTTTTATTATCTCGAAGGTCATCACTCAGGTTATATCTCACCATGATACCTGTAAAAGCAATTACCAAATAAATGTCTACAATTACCAAATAAATGTCTCTGGTCACCTCTGGGTGAGCCAGAGAAGGAAATGAATTAGCCATCAATCAATCAATCATTATCTTGCCAGAAGTGTGCTGACATCACAATTCAGATTACCCTCTAACTGCAACATCCACACCCATCCTCCATATTGCAGGCATTGCCCCTTCCACCTCTAGGACTCAAATCCAACTAACTGGTTTCCCTGAATCCTTTCACAAATATTAAGTTTCTCACTCCCCAACAGTATACCCACTAAAAACCACTTGTCTCCATTCACTCCTAATGCATTTATACAAGCCTGCTGGATGCCCAAACCCCTAAAACTCAAAGCCTCTTTTACACCTTCCCTCCAACTGCTCTTGGGATGACTACTATCCCTCCTTCCTTCCACCCCAGATTTATGCACCCTCTTCATCATCTTATCCCAATCCATCCTCTCCACATGCTCAAACCATCTCAGCAACCCCTCCTCAGCCCTCTGAATTATAGTCACCTTTAATCAATGCTGTAATAGAATACTGCACACTAATATAAATAAGTAATTAATGACTATTCACTAACAGTAATGAACTGCACATCTACTTTTTACAGAAATGAATAATTATCACTTAAGAGTTCCTTTGTCATAAAAAATTAAGCAAAAATACTCTATAAACCAAGTCCCCTAGAAAATATAACTACCACAAGCATAGTATATGCTATATTCATAGGGAAGCACTAAGTCCATAGATGTTATACAGTGTTTGGGGAATGGGAGGTAATTAGGTAATATCTGATCTGAGGGAAAGGCGAGCAGTGCCAATTCCTTGAATAAAGTACTCAATACCTACATTCAGGAACCTTCATCTCCCTTGAAGAAAAAGAAGAAAAAGCTTAATACATGAAGTTCACATTACAGTGAGTGTACATTTCTGGCTTTTCAGGTAAGGAAAATTTATCTTAGACTTAAATTACAACATACAGGTTGGCCATCACTAATCCAGCATCACTGGGGCCTGTAGTGTGCCAGATTAGTGAGTCTGCTGGATTACAGAGTGGTTAGGTTTGAATACACTTAATTAACCTATCAATTGAGACTCTTTACGCTACATTCCTCATTTTCATCACTGCTTTCTCCTCCACTGGCTTGCTGCTGTGGATTTACAACCATTTGCACAATTTCTGAGTCAGTATAATGATGAAATTTGAGTCAGTTTAATGATTTGAGTCAATATAATGATGAAATTTGAAATTATGCTAGCCAAAATTAGTGTGGTTTGCTGAGGAAAAGGGATAATAAATTGCAGATTAGTGATGACCACCGTACAAATAAAATTGAGGCTTTGTATCAATTAAAAAACGCACCAATTTGTGACTATTCAGGCAAAAGCTGCACACTTATTTTTCATTTTTATACTGAATGTATATGACAGTTTTCAGTCATTTACCTTTCAATTTTTCCTCTGAAAGTAGAAAACTATATAAAATATTTTTAGGTGATTCAAATTACATAAAATTTTTTCCCACTGTGGGAAATATTTTTTCCATCAAGCTTCCGGTGACTGGAAAAGGTTCAATTATTTGGGCCTCTAAAATTATTACTGAATCAGATAATCTCCATACAGCAAAAATGGAATGTTTGTGTTTTTTGGTTTTGGAGGCTGTGAAAATCAGAACCCAAGGGGAAAAAGAAATTTTGCTTTTAAATTTTAAATATGTACTGTATTATGCACATTTTACATTTTTTTAAAAACCCTTATAAACTGTGCCATTAAAAAAGACTTCCCTTCGATTGAGTGAGAATTTGTGTGTAGATTAAACTAAAAACCAGGGACTGACATTGAAGGTACCATCATTTAAAAAACAGTCTATTCAGTAGTGTGCGGTCTTTTTTTGCCTCTCTAAATAAAGTGGGGAACCCCAACAAATAGACGAAATCCCTTCATGTCACCATTTAACAGCTTCTTCCCAAATGCATGTGCGGGGGTTTTCGAAGGCTCTCTAAACTGCACATCCTTCCCCCTCCTTTAGGTGTAAGCATGTACTTCTCCCCTCCAGGCATAAGTCCATTTTATTGGTTTTCCCTTAAACCCCCTTCTTAAATATTACCTTTCTTCATTCCAACAGAAAATCATGTAAAAAATTTCCCTTTGCCTCCACTTATCCAAAAAAAACCACTCATATTTTTCCCTTTTTGATGAACCTACCCTGTTTCCTTCCACCCTAGATTTATAAATTTTTGTACCCTTCTTGCCCCTCCTTCTGAATATAAAAACCCCCTAAAAAAAATTCCTCACCCACAAAATTTATACAATTAATAATTTCCGTCCAAATTCTTACCAAAATTTACACACACAGCTTCAAACACAACATCTCCCTCCCTCCGCCCCTTTATTGAAATGCTGAAAGCGATGCTTAGCCCATATAACAATGTTGGTACTACTTAAGGGGGGCTCTTTTTTATGGGGCTCTTAGGTTCACAACCCCATCAGTAAGAAAAATCCCCGCGGGGGGAAAAAAAGAAAATTTTTTTTTTTTCATTATTGAATGCATCTAAAATGCCTGATGTTGGTTACAATCATGTACTGGGGCCCCCATTTACACAGCAGGTTAAAGCTCTGTTATGATGTAGGTAAAAACCTCGTAAATTAAATTTTCCCTTTTTTCACTTTCAAATCTTTAAAAGCCTGACGGGTTCCCCTCTACATTCGTGGGGGGTTAGGGGATCGCTCCCCCCACATTTGTGGGGGGTTGAGGATCAAGACCTCAAATATAATAATAAGCATTTACCACCCAAACAATATGTTTCCCTTTAACCTGTTGAACCCAAACAATCAAAAAAACACATGAAAACATGTAAAATATTGTATATACCTTATGATTGGGCGGTGGGCATTATGAATGTTCGAACCCCATGAAAGTGGAACTCGCGTGTGGAGGGGACCGTAACATGTTTACAATCTTTTAAGTGGCATTATAGCTAGGCCTAAAAAAAACTTTCGTACACACTTTTTTTACCTTAAAATTTTTTTTCCTTAGCTTATAGTGAGTGGGGAATACAATTTTGTAGGCAGTATGAATAAATGAAGAAAGGGGGATTCAAATTGAAAAAAACTGAAATTTGTGAAAAGTTTTAAAATGAAGAACTCAAAATGGGGTTTTTTGTATTAAGTGCATTTAAAAAAGATAGAGTAAAATTTTTTTATAGTACTTACAATACTTACTTAAAATATGGTGCCGGTTGCCCCTTTTCCCTTTCGCAACTTTGTACAAAAAGGGAAAAATGGTTTTAAAAGCACTGATATAATGAATAATGGCTCGATGAAAAACCAGTGCGTGTCCCCGAGTGGCCAGGTTGTATAATAAACCCCAGTCACCATCGCTATATTGTGGGCAACAAAAAGGCAATCAAGGAAGCTGTTCTTGCCAAAGGTTCAACTGTGTTTTCGAAACAGAGATGCAAGTGATGGAAGATGTTGAGAGACTCTTATTGGTGTGGATAAATGAAAAAACAGGTAGCAGGAGATAGCATCTCTCAAGTGATCATAAGTGAAAAGGCTAGGAGTTGCATCAGGATTTAATTAAAAAAATGCCTGCAACTAGTGATGATGTGAGTGAATTTAAGGCCAGCAAAGGTTGTTTGAGAGATTTAAGAAGCGTAGTGGCATACATAGTGTGATAAGGCATGGTGAGGCTGCCAGTTCGGACCACAAAGCAGGTGAAAGATATGTGCAGGAATTCAAGGAGTACATAGAAAGTGAAGGACTGAACCTGAACAAGTGTTTAATTGTGATGAAACAGGCTGTTTTGGAAGAAAATGCCAAGCAGGACCTACATTACTCAGGAGGAAAAGGCACTCCCAGGACATAAGCCTATGAAAGACAGGCTTAACTCTGTTGATGTGTTCCAATGCTACTGGTGATTGCAAAGTGAAGCCTTTATTAGTGTATCACTCAGAAACTCCAGAGCGTTCAGACAAAAGAATATCCTCAAGGCTAATTTGTGTGTGCTGTGGAGGGCAAACAGTAAGGCATGGGTCACTAGGGACTTTTTCTATGACTGGTTACACCATGCATTTGCCCCCAATGTGAAAGATTACCTAACTGAAAAGAAGTTAGACCTTAAGTGCCTCCTGGTGTTAGACAATGCCCCTGGTCATCCTACAGACGTGGCAGAGCGACTTTATGGAGACATGAAGTTCATTAAGGTGAAGTTTTTGCCTCCTAATACCACTCCTCTCCTGCAGCCATGGACCAGCAGGTTATTGCAACTTCAAAAAACTGTACACAAAAGCTCTGTTTGAAAGGTGCTTTGTAGTGACCTCAGAAACTCAACTGACTCTAAGAGAGTTTTGGAGAGATCACTTTAATATCCTCAATTGTGTAAACCTTATAGGTAAGGCTTGGGAGGGAGTGACTAAGAGGACCTTGAACTCTGCTTGGAAGAAACTGTGGCCAGAATGTGTAGACAAAAGGGATTTTGAAGGATTTGAGGCTAACCCTGAGAGGAGTATGCCAGTTGAGGAATCAATTGTGGCATTGGGGAAGTCCTTGGGGTTGGAGGTTAGTGGGGATGATGTGGAAGAGTTGGTGGAGGAGGACAATGAAGAACTAACCACTGATGAGCTGATAGATCAACTTCAACAGCAAGAGGCCAGACCTGAGGAAACTGGTTTGGAGGAGGGGAGAGAGAAATTGAAGAAGTTGCCTACTACAAAGATTAAGGAAATCTGTGCAATGTGGCTGAAAGTGCAAACCTTTATGGATGAAAATCACCCTCACACAGCTATTGCAAGCCGTGCTGGTGACTATTACACTGACAGTGTTGTGAAACACTTTAGGGAAAGTCATAAAGGAACGAGAGGTACAGGCCACTATGGACAGATATGTTGTGCGACAGAAGTCCAGTGACTCTGAAGCTGGTCCTAGTGGCATTAAAAGAAGAAGGGAAGTAACCCCAGAAAAGGATTTGACACCTCAAGTCTTAATGGAGGGGATTCCCCTTTTAAACATAAGACTCTCTCCTCTCCCATCCCATCAATCATCACCAGATCTTCAATAAAGGTAAGTGTCATGTAATTGTGCATGCCTTTTTCAGTTTGTGTGTATTAAAATTAATATTTCATGTGGTAAAAATATTTTTTTTCATACTTTGGGGTGTCTTGCACGGATTAATTTGATTTCCATTATTTCTTATGGGGAAAATTCATCCGCATAACGATAATTTCGCATAACAATGAGCTCTCATGCACGGATTAATATCATTATGCGGGGGTCCACTGTATTTATATTTACAGTAAAATATAATGCATGTTATTGCTTTGTGGAAATATTATGCAAGTGGAGGTTAGGTGAGCAAATATACACAGGTAATGAGGCACAACCATGGTGGCAGCTATAACACTGACGACACCCCAAAATACTGTATCCCAGTTTTGGTTAGACTGTTATTTACTAATTACAAATTAAAATTAGCCTGTAAATTATTATACAGTGGAACCTCAAATATCGAACT